AATAAATTTTCTCGAAGCGAGTTTCGACGGATTTATGTTGTTCGCTGGTCGCGATCGTGGGTGTACGCCGTCGTTAATTTTACGTTTGGACAAACATTCCGTCGGACGACTTTATTCTCGAAGAACAAAAGCGTCCTCTCCCGGTCTCGTAAAAATATCGAACTGGGAATGTATCATTGTTCCAGATTTCTATAATTACTTGGTTGTTGAGGAAAAGCAATCTTCGCTCTTCCTCGTGCCGCGGTCATTCATCTAGTCTCTCGAGTGGGGCACGTTGATTGATTTGAAAATGATTTCCAATGTCTGTCCCGTCATTACAAGCACGAGTAAAAGTAGAAGAGTGTACTTCTATTATAGAATTCACTATGTTTTCTCAGACTACAATTTACGTATTACGCGTATTTTCCGGATATTTTTAGGATAAATCCATAATCGTTGGTTGAACTCGTCGATGCGAATGGGCGTATTAATAATCGCAATTACTGGAAAAGAGTAAGGAAACGACAGACGAAGTTAATTAGAGTGGGCTCGTTCGCTTTGCGACGGGGGAATAAATAACGCACAACGAGTTCCAGCGGCTCAATTAATAATTAACGCGATCGGTGTTCCTCCGTGGAGTACGTCGCCACTTTTACCCAGTCGCGATCAAAATAGACGATCGCACGCAGACGGATCGCCGTCGTATTTTCGCGTTTCGATCCGGTTGTAACGACACGGAGAGAAAGTGTTTCTGTTCAACGCCACCGATAGAACATTTTACCCAAACATTGTTTTCCCGAGGCTCTTCGTATTCCACGCGTTTCTTTCTTTCGGACACAGTAATTTTCCAACGTGAAAATGTTAATATATTCCAGAGGAAACCGACGAACGTGTTTCTCAGAATGTAAAAAATTCGCAAATGCCTTTTCCTCTGCGTGGAATCGGAAGACGCACCTGCTCGCGGGGAAAATTAAAAAGAACCAAGAGCCGTTGGAACGTAGGTACGTAGCTGGAATGCGGTTCCTCCTGCAACTTTGCTGACTATGTATGTTTATCAACGCATGGGAAGCGTGTGATAGCGACGGATGTTTGCTACAACACGAGATAATAGGAAACAATTCAAACGCGACGATCGTACCCGCGCGCTGGCAACGATTGCGGGAGATTTCAATAATATTCGAGCGATATCTCTCGATAAACTGTCGCATAAAATTATTCCGCGCTGGAGATTCATCGTCGATCGTCTGATGCAGTGGTTCTTAACCTTTTTTTTTATCAACGAACCCCTAAATATTATTGAAATCAATGTTGGATCGCTACACAAGACAAGAACAAGCTTACAACGTCAGAATCGTATAATTAACTCGAAAATCTTACTTTTGGAAGCAAGTAAAGTGGTTTACGCGCCTATTTTATCGATCGTTGCTAGGGGAAATGAAAGGGTTAAAAGATCGCGGTTGCCACAGGTGTTCGGGTAATCGCGAAACACACGGGGCAGGTCATTCCCCGTAGCTCGAGCCGGCGACTCCTACAAAGATAAGCCGACGAGCAGCAAGGGGGCACCGATAATCAGACCGCAGGCAGTTCTAGCTTCCAGCCGTTATTACGACAGCGATCGTGCGTGAAGAAAGGAACAACGAATCGTCGAAGCCCCCCGTAATTCCATCCGCGAATTCTGGAATAGCTGCGGAAGAGCGAAACGTCGCATTAGCCGGCGGTGCAGCTTTTGTTCGCGAAAATCGGCATCCGGTTCTGGGCGCGGACACGGGCGTAATTTCCATTCTCGTGTCACGGGAGGCTATTTTTTTCGGCTCTCCTGTCAACGAGAAGCCAGCGACGCGGGGAGGAACAGACGGGAATCCTGCGAGAGAACGAAAACACCGAGTCTCGAGCAGGCAAGAGCGCGAGAGCGGAAGTCGAGAATGTGGGGCGGTGATGGGCCACTTCCGGTGGTCCCGGTACACGACTCGCAAGCCAAGTCAGTCGGACTGTGACCGCGAGCGTCTCTGTCTGTCGGCAAAACCGCAGACAGACCGTCTGTCTCATCATTCCATTAAACGGACACCAGGCTCGCTGACACGTCGGTACCAACGGGCCCGATCCCTCGGGACACCGTGAAATAATCTTAACTGCCTGTTATTGGCGCGTCGAGTTTCCACGGGAGACACGACACCCGTAAACTCGACGATTTCGTTGGGGAAACGGACCACCAAAACCTTTATCGCGCGATGGACCAACCGGTAGATCGGGGATTTTCACATGATTGGTAGCGTTTCAACAGAAAATTCACAGTTTTAAAAAACACTCGGTAAAAGAATCAAGATCCTCGACAACGAATGTCACCGAACTGGTAATCGTGAAAGTTGGAAACCGCGTTGCAATCACCGTTTCAACGACCGCAATGTCGCGAAATATAATCGAGTTTGATTTTCAGTGACATTTTCGAGGCAACCAGTCGAGGCTCGTTCCTTATCGTAACGTGAATTTCCAGCTTTGCCTTATCCGCTTCTTGAACTTATCTTTACGAGTCGTTCGGTCATTCTGCATTGTTTCACGTCCGTGGAACAGAGCTGTTGCGAGTTCTGCGCGGTTCGAATATCGGAACTCGACGGTGGACCATTCAGTTCCAAGCTACCAGCATTTTTTTTAAAGCTATTGCTATTGCTAGAATCGAATAAATCCTGGCTAGAAAATAAAAACAGAATGTATCTTCGTTTGTACGTTCTCCAGAGACGTTCGTTGCTCGAAGATAGGAATCCTTTCTGATTCCTGGATGCTTTTACTCGAACTATTATTCAAACGACCGAGTTCAACGTACTCGGTTTACTTTCAGTTCGAACGCACGAAGTCGAAGATCGAAATGTTTGAAATTACTCGAGGTTTCTGCGTGACTGCTTGAACTAACTGGCTGATAATCAAGTTACATTTATGCTACTCACGGTGTAGATTTTTTAACCACTATATCCGTTCTCTTCATACTGTACATGTAATATTATATCGGTCCATGATATGTATATTTTATAAGACTATTTTCGTACTGGTATCTAACCCTGGCTTCTATCAAGGAATTATTCCGAAAATAAATAAACGCACAAAATAAACCGGAAGGTTTCTATACCATACTCGTTACAATCTATCATTATATACATTACTAATTTATTCGGTAAATATTACTGATTCGGTTCAGACGAAACAATTCCTCTTTGAAGAGGTTAAACGATCCTGAGCAGTGGAAGGCAGAGGCACAAAATTCGTTGAACTTGGAAATAAATGCAACGTGAATGCGCTGAAAGGGAACAGCGGAGTCTCGGAATCGATTAAAAACTCGACAAGACTGGAAAAAGAAAGTAGCAAGAAATTAATGAGCGAGAAGGGGCAGAGAATTTGTTAAACGTAAAGGGAAGGGAATTTATTGAAGGTGAGAAAACGGGGGGGGAATCAACGACGAGGGGTCGAAGGGACAAGACGAGAGAGCGAGAGAGAAAGAAACGACCTCTTGACGCTAACACGAAAGGGTAATTATAATCGTCTCTCTTTCTTCTTCTTCGCTGCCTATCGTTCTCCTTGTTTCGCTCTCCCTTCCTCTCTTTCGCTCCCGCGGTAGGTTCATGGTGGCGCCACGAACGGAAGAGAGAGACAGCAAGTGCCACTCATAGGAGCGTAACAATGGCTTTCCATGCCGGCTCAACCAACCAGACGACCGACTGACGATCATGACGAATCGTTCCCCGTGGGATTAGCGGCATCCAGCCACGAGGGTTGCTCTCGATATGTCTCGAAGCCGTTTCGATTCGATACTTCGATACTTCAGCGATACCGAGAATCGCGAACGAACGGGAGTTACGAGATTTTAACCGCTTCTCCGCCGAGCTTTTTCTCGCTAGTCGATCCAAAACTTCCTTATTTCTCTTTTCGAATGTTTAGAAGCAATTACCAAAGTTATTATTATAATCGTTAAGTATGGTTTCATTCGTAGATGTATCGATGAAGTTAACTCAGACGCGGTTCAAGAGCAAATATGAAATATTAAAGGGTAATAAAAACTATCACGATACTCTTTGAACTTGCCTCTAAGACTCACTTCTTAGAGTACCAAGCTATTATACCTTTTGTTTATTGATTTGAGTAGACCATGAACACCAATGGATTTAATGTAATAACACAGTGTAATAACGTTTCCAGAGTGCTGGCAGTAAACTTTTGAACTTGTGCAGTTTTCAATCGCGACGACAATATTGCGAGCGCGCACGCGACACGTCGATAATTAAAACGTGGACTTTGCACGCGTACGTCTCGGTTCGCGACGATTTCCATTTTATTACTGTTCGCGTTACCGGCAGCCAGAAGCCTCGATTCGTAACCTGAATCTCGAAGTGCCGGTGAATTTATTAAGATGCATTAGATGTAAAGCGATTCACTCGTTGATCGTTCCGACAGTGATACATTCCTCGGGGCCGGGCGGCTCGCTTTTCTTATCTCTAATTCCTTTAAATATGCAACGAACGAGGGGAAATGCTTGCCGTCGAACCGTGAAAAACGAAAACGCTAGGCAAACAGGAATCGGTATTTTGTATTCAAAGAAAAAAGGGAGAAAAATGACGAGCGGACGGGTGAAACAGGAAAACGGAGAAAAGAGCATGCGGGACCAACGAGAACAGCAGAAAACGTTCGGCGAGACGTTCACGTCGAAAAATTCCAAGATACGACCGAAAAACGAAGACCTCGCGAATCGCCAACTGCTTCCAGACAGTGCAGCCCAATCAACAAAGTCACAAATGTAACGAATAAACAGGAAATTTTCGAAATTCTGCAGTGATATTTACCAAGGTATTCCAAACCCTATTTGTAGGTCGCAAAAAGTTATTTGGGTACGTTACTATCATAATCATTCCCGATCTTGTAGCCGGATCAAATAATTTCTCACGTACAATTTTTCCTGAATCTCTTTTAAAATGGTGTTTCAATGTTTCCAAATATATCCACCGATCTATGATAGCGTGTATAAAAAGTAAGTTTCCTACCTCGGCTGCTGCCATTGATCATCAAACCGTCACCGATCCATCTCCATGTTTCACCGCTGAACTCATATTTTTCAGTCCCAATGCTGCGCCACTTTTTCTCCGCATTTCACCCTTTTCGCCGGAACTGTAATCAGAACATTGAATTTGCTTTCATCTGGGCATAAAATTATAAATTCGTGACTTATAAAAAAATTGAATATTAGTTTTCTTTAAATTTTGTTCCGTGGCATTGTATTCTTTTTAATCTTTCGTACCTATGCTTGGTGGCACGATAGCAAAATTGGTTCGTGAGTCAACATACGTTTGACATACCTGGTGTATAGGAATGGAAGGAATTATAGAATGCAGACATGTAGGAGAAGGAGGCAAGAAATTTGAACGTATGTTGGATTGGGTTTTAGTCATGAATGGTATGAATTCAGTGGAAACGAGTGGATGGCTGAAGTTTTGCCTGAAAGAATTCAGGGGCCTGGAAAAATGTTCTGTAAGATACTATTACGAATAACAGACCACCTTGTACGTATCGTATTAAGTTATCGTATCTCGGTTACTGCAGTTTTGAGAGCAAATGTATCGAAACGCGCATAACGCTATGTAGATATCCAATGTGCGTTTGACAGTTTCCGGGAAACTTTTGGCGAAAATAGGGGTATCGGAGCAAAAGTATGAATTATGGAGAACCCGAAGCCGATACCCGGCAAAACTTTTATAAAATCGCCTTGGTAGTTAACGTAATATTATCGGAGCCACGTTGTATCTCTTTTCTGTGATTCGCGTTTTCCATCCGCGTTTCCGCGATCGCTGAATTTTCACGCTGTTTTTTAAATACCGTAGTTTCCGGTGGAAAGGGGAAACATCATAAAAACTGCCACGATTATTAAAAATGTGTTAACAGCGCGCGGTGCTTTTACCATGTTATTACTCGCGTTTTCATTTTGAATGAATTAAAAAGTGGCTCGCGTTGCCAGTCAATCATTTCGCTTCTACCACGCAACAGCGTTTATTCCAATGAATTGTTTTACTGCTTTCCGAAGCCATTGTGCGGCCACTGTATACAAAATAATAACGTTAGCCATTGGGAATGCTCTAAAGTTACACCGTTCAATTATCGAACATATCTATTTTTCCATTACGATTCGTACAAACGTCGGGGGCATCTCTGTGGCAAAATGGCGTGGCGGTGGACGCGTTAATTCGTTGTTTGGATTTCGACCGCGTTTACGAGAAACGGTTCCACGGTGCAGGGCTCCGAAGTCACCGATAAATCCGACCTGTTGGTCGTACGCGATGCGAGATGCGTGTGCAATAGCGTTAGGGTACACGTCGGCGCTGTAGATCCCAGCAGAACAGAGCTCATCGCGCACGGTGAAAGCGAGCGAGACGGAGAAGGAGGTTTCTTTATCGCGGCCAAAGCGACCGCGCGAACCAGACGGAGAGGAGAGACTGTCTTCGAAGTCGGAAAAAGACAGAGTCACGAGTTAGAGCAGAGACAGCGTTACGAGGTGGAACGAGATAGGCTCGTGTGCCAAACAGAGACAGCGTTACGAGTTAGAGCAGCGTTTCCCAACCATTTTCGGCCGAACGCCCCTTTACGAAATCTTTTTCAGGCCGACGCCCCACCACCAACGCGCCAATTCTATTATGCACTTTAGGAGGGACACGATGCTCGGGCATAACAATTCTTTTAAAGATTTAACTGTTGAAAAATGATTTTTTCTTCGATTCAAAATAGTTAATTCTATAGATAAAAGTTTAACCAATGGATCGTAAATGTTCCAATACCAATTACGCGATCGACGTGTCAGCGTATCAGCCAAAGGTTGGAATACATTTTCACCTGGAACAACGGTGTTCATAAAGTAATGATATACGTATACAACGACAGCGTTCAGCCTGCAATGTTAACGCCCTCCTAATGTGCCTAAACGCCCACCTAAAGTTATTACATTAACACCACCCTCTTGAGAGACTCTAGCGCCCACTGAGAGAAGGGGGATGCTGCCACCCACGTTGGGAAACGACGAATTAGAAAGACACGGACTTTCAAGTCAGCCGGAGACAGTTTTACGAATCACGTGTCTCAGTGAAACAACAAGTTGGAGAGATACATAAATAGATACAGGCTTACAAATTGGAAGCAGAAAATCTCACTCATCAGCGTGAGATAGTCATCCGGGGCTAGAGAGATACGTAGATATAGACTCACAAATTAGAGCCAGGCTCACGAATTAGAATGTGGCAGCCTAGCGAGTCGGAGAGGTGTCAAGACACAAACCTACGAATCGAAACAAAACGATCCAACCCGTAAAGAGTTAACGCTCTCAAATCGAAAGGAGACAGTCGAAATTAGAGAGGCGTACAGGTAAGAGACTCACGGATAAGGAGAGAGTCTCGCCTATCAAAGCGAGATACGCTGGTTAGGATAGAGACAGAGTTACGAGAGAGGCGCACGGTTTGAGAGTTACGAATTAGAATGAGACATTCGCGGGTGGAGTGGGACAGCGTTATCAGTTGAACGGAGATAAGGTGATAAAGACAGCACGCGCCGAAACGAACGAAGGCAGAGGAGCGCGGCAAAGAAACGCGCGGCGTTATTTGACGAGCAACGCCATCGGCGCGAGAGAGAGGGAGAGCGTTCAAAGTGAAACGGAGGAGAGAACGTAAACGCGAGAGAACCGAGAGGGCTGGCAAAAGAGCCGAAGGTCTCGTGCTCTCTCGATGCAGACGGATAACAGGCTCGCGGCACACAGGGACGCGCGCTGGTGAGCGTCGTCGTGTCTCTCGCCGCGACGTATCCGCGGAACGGCTCTCCTCGCGAGAGCGTCGTAAAGCTTGGGTTCTTTTTGCGACGCCCGGAGGCCAGACGCGCGCCGCGATGCACCGCGCCGGTGTACTGTTTCCTAAACTTTCTAGCGGCGCTCGGTACGGCACGACCAGCCTGGATAAACCGGACGATGCCGGTTCACCAGCGTCTGCTTCGCCCGATATCTGGATCTACGGCCACGGATCGGGATCGATTCCACGCGTCGATCGACCGTGCTACGATCTACGATAACGAGGAGCTCGAAGAATCGACGATCTATACACGATAAAAACGATACACGTTCCTTGCTACAGAACTATAGTACGACAAAGTCAAAATAGTACCCCTGTCGAATTTAAGAGGGGAAACTCATGTAAATTAGTAAAACGAGAAACGATATTTGGCAATTTTTTTACAGCATAAGGGTTTGATGAAACTTCTATTGACAGAAAGAAGATTGGGCAACGATTCGTAATCGATCGATAGATGCAACGATAATAATAATAGTAATCATTAATCGTTCAGCCGTCGATGAGATTGATCAGCGATCGGATGGAGAATTACTTTTAAGTTTGACCAGGTTCGCGCTCGGCTCCTTTGCTATTAACTTATCGATCCGATCGGAATCAAAGTTAACCATTCCGTTATTAATTATTAGCGAGTTAATCGTGCCTGATGATTGCGTCTCCTTTGATTATGTGGGATCGGGAAGATAATGACTCCGCTCTGTTCCGTTCCGCACAATTTTATTGTTGCTGTCGTACAACGACGTGACTCGTGGTGCGGGTTACGCTCGACTCTCTGGTACGATCATCGCCACCGTACCAAGAGGCCTTCAAAAACAAAAGACGGTCAGAGACGACGACAACGGCTTTTCGGCTCACGCGGCTCTGGTCGTCTCGTGTGCAACCATCGTCTCGTGTGCAACCATCGTCTCGTGTGCAACCATACATTGTAGCGGCTTCGAACGGCTAAGGCGTATGTGGTGCCTTGGCCGCCACACTACCCCCCTGCCAGTAATTGGCACAATTACGAAAAATTGACCGACTACATTACCACTACCATTTACTCTATTATATAAAATACGTTATCCTAACTAAGATTTACATTACAGTATTTGAACAGAGTTGAAAAAAAAAGGAATTTACATGGAGTTTAATATATAATACGTAATACCTAAAAATACATGAAAGTACATAAAAGTGATGGAAAAAAATAAATGGTATATGATACTTATTATAATAATGCGCAAGCCTTAAGTACTACCGCGTAATTTGAAATCGCTCGGGAAAACGTACGCGTCTACCTGAACGCGTGACACGTTGCTGTATAACCGGCGCATTGTCAGGTACGTTTGTTTGTGTGACCGGCTGATTTTCTATGCTCACGGGATCCGGTCTGTTTTCTGCTAGCATATAAGCAGGCTTTAGCCTTTCAATTGATATATTTATTTCCTTACCTCTAATGTTTATTGTAAATGTTTTTTCGCCTCGGCGCACTACGGCGTATGGACCTTCATAAGCGGGTTGTAAAATAGTTTTGGCTGAATCTGTTCGGATGAAAACATGTGTTGAACTGCTAAGATCTTTGAAAACGAATGTACGATTAACGGAATGGCGTGATGCATTAGAGGGACTCAATTTAGAAAAATGGTTGCGTAGTCTATTAGTAAAATCGGAAGCATTTTCTGTGCCTTCCGCTGAATGCGAAGACAAGAACTCTCCCGGTAATCTTAATGGCTCGCCATAAACTAATTCCGCTGAGGTAGCGCCGAGGTCTTCTTTCCAGGCGGAACGAATACCGAGTAGAACCGTCGGAAGTATTTCTGTCCACTTGTCGGATCCGTGGCACCTTATAGCCGACTTGAGCTGTCGGTGAAAACGCTCTACCATCCCATTGGCCGCTGGGTGATACGCCGTTGTGCGAAGGCGTGTGGATCCAATTAAATTGTTCAGCGCAAAAAATAATTTGGATTCGAATTGCCTACCCTGATCGGTGGTAATCCGTACGGGAGCACCAAACCGCGCTACCCAACCGTCATAAAAGGTTCGAGCTACGGTTTGGGCCTCCTGATCGACCATGGGGAAGGCTTCCGGCCACCGCGTATATCTGTCTACACAGGTCAGACAATACCTGAAACCTTCGGACACCGGTAAAATTACTATGTCTAAATGAATGTGTTCGAATCGCGCAGAAGGTTTAACAAATGTAGCCAATGGTGCAGTCACATGACGGGAAATTTTTGATCTTTGGCACGGTATACAGCAACGTGTCCACGTGCGAACATCTCTTTTAATCGACGGCCAAACATAACGTTGCGT